TCCATTAAAATCTATCATATATCAATATACTCAAGCATTTAGTTCCATATTATTACGTTATACATCATTGAATCATTTATCATTAACAATACAAACAATGTTTTTACAATCATCACGTTTAATAACAATGTCAAATGATTTAACACGTATAAATTTTACTGATTTACATGAACAAATCAATTGGTTAATTGAATGTGATTTAAATTTATTTAATAAAATCGAACAATGTTTTAAAAATTTATTTCATTGTCAAACAATGTTAACAATACATAATTGGACAACATTTATTGATACATTATTAGATGATTATTTAATTCTATATAATAATACAAAAGAATATATCTATAATGCTCGACAATTTTTATTAAAAACAAATTTTTATTGTTCATTAATCTTACGTGAATTAACATTATATTATGGGACATCACTTGGTTCATTTCATTTATTACAATTATTTATTGAAGAATATCTTTATTATCGTATTGAAGAAAAAATCTCATTTTATTTAAATCAATCACGTATTAATTTAGTTCTAGATAATTTTAATAATAAACAAGAAAAAAATTTTATTAATAAAACTTATCAAGATTTATTTAATGACGATGATATTGATGATGATTTAGAAAGTTTATCAGATGATTTTAATGAACATAGAAATCTTCTTAAACCTTTATCACCTGTTCAAATTGATGATTTTATTTTACCTAATGAAACAATAACAAATTCATTTTCATATATATTTGAAGATTTACAACCATTATCAAATGAAATATTTTGAATGAAAAAAAAATAAATATTTTATTTAACAAAGAAAATGACAGATCATTTATTTTTTGAATTATGTTCTTATTCCTCATCTGTTTCTCATCAAGCAAATCTCATATTCTCTCACTCTCTCTATGCCATTGTATAAGTCAATTAAACTTATGATCGATGAGTATTATTTCATTTTAATATCGAACTTATCATTCATGATACCACACCAAGGTGTCAGAAATGATCATGATCATCATCATCATCATCATCTTCGAAATGAACTACATAAGTCACACTCACAGCATGTTAGTTTGACTTTTTGTATATATATATTGTGTATTTTCCGCAAGCTATAGTGACCTTTACTCAGACATTTCACATGTTAGCTCAAACGATTGATTATTAATTGTTCAGTATAATAATACATATGAATTTATAGTGATAATCCACGATGAGTAACAATTTGCACGTCTCACATCTGCAGATCATTGCTGCTGCTTTTACTGGTTATGTCTTATGTTTATATTATTGTTCTTCATTCCGATATATATATATATGAAAGAATATGTACATATTTCTATGCTCAAATGTCGAATCATCTTGCTTTTCTCCTCCCGGCTAGATAAACAAGTGCAATCAACACTAATTCATATTTATTCTTTAAGCTTTTCAATTGAGTTATCTCTTCTTTTTTTTTCTTCAAATCTGTTCTTTCAATTTGAACATCATCATCAGCTGTCGACAATGCATACAGACGTCCATAGAGACTCGTTTATGTGTATATGCACATACAGTAGAATGATGATGATGATGATACCATCAAGGTTTGATAAGAATTAGACAAGTCAATGTTGTCGTTTTCATATATATGGTTGAATAAAACAGAATGAAGGAAGAAGAGAGAATAATATCGAATAACGATCTTATCATTCATTTACTCATCACTTCACTACGAAAATTTAACAAATGAAAAATTCCCTAATGGGAAATTTTCATTTTTTAAAATGTCTTCATCTGTCAAATACAGTTAGGTAGCATTTGTATGTTGCATCATCATTATTCCAGATGTAAAATCTTGTTATTTCTACAAAAGAGTATCAAATATCGAACACGATTTTTTTTCATGCTCGATAAAACTTTAAATTTTTCGGAAGAAATACAAGTGTTTACTTTTTTAGAAAGAGAATTCATTCTATTCAATTAAGTCTAAAGATATTTTTTTTGTCTTAGTAATATAAGAATAAAACAAAGTTAGTCTAAATATCGTTTTGTATTATATTCAAATATGATTGTAACATTTTTTTCTTACTCTGCATGATATAAAAAAAATTCTTTAGATCTTCTTTTGTCAAAGAAACAACAACAACATCAACAACAAGAAAACAAAAGAAAAAGAACAACAATATGATGAGAGAAAGCTATAATAATTAAAAAAAGAAGACAGATGAAGAAAGAACTAACATCCTGTGGAGAGTTGATTATATACATTTGGTTAGTTTTCTTGATAATCATCAGGCGAAAATGGTCCATTACCAATCGATGTTTGTTGTTCATTACTTGTATTATCATTAACAGACCAAGCACCTTCCATACGCCATACACTAAATGCATAGCTTAATGGACGTTCATTTTGCTGTTGTTGTTGCTGTGGTTGTTGTTGTTGTGACGGTGGTGATGATGATGATCCTGTATCAAGTGTATGTTGTTGTTGCTGAAGTTGTGATGTTGGAGTTTGTTGTGATGATGATGATGTTAAATTTGGTGATGAATTCTGTTGTTCATCGGAACGTAAAATTTGATAAAGAAAATCAATATATCGTGTTGCTAATTTTAATGTTTGAATTTTCGATAATTTATCTGATGGTAATGTTGGAATAATATGACGAAGATGTGCAAATGCATCATTTAACGATTGTGTACGTTGTCTTTCTCGTACATTAGCAATAGCACGTTGATTTTGTACATCATCTTGTGACATTATTGGTTGTTGTTGCTCTTGATTATTATGAAGATGTAGTAGTTGTTGCTGTTGTTGTTGTTGTTGTCGTCTTTTTGATGATAAACGACGTGATGTTGTTGCTGTATATGGCTGACCATTTAATCGACGTGTTGAACGACGTATACGTCGTTGATGATTTGTATTATTAGTATTATTTGTCGATTCTAATATTTGCTTTTTATTATGTATTGATGTATCAAGATAATTTTCATCGATATGCATTGGTGTTGATGGTGAACTTAAACTTGATTCACTTCCTGCACTACTCATTGATGTTATTGGATAAATAGTTAAAGGATATTGTTGATTATTTGATAATGATGTATATTCACTTTTAATAAACGTATTTAAAAATGGTTGATGTTGAAGAAGTGTTGTCGATGAACTTGAATCCATAAAGTAAAAAATGTAATTTAATTTTACTAACTAAAATAAAAAAAAAGAATATTTAAATTTTCAAAATTAAATTACTAGTTTTTATTTCATTTACTATTATTATTATTATTATTACGATTATTCTAATGATCTTAATCGTTAATTGAAAGCATATTATTTCATATATTGTATGATCTCTCCCTCTCTCAAAGAGTTTCCTTTTCTTTATTGTTTTCACTTGCCTGTATATATTTGTTATTTGCTTGTCAGATGTAAACGATTAGGTTCATCTGGTTAGCATTTTAGATGAAGATCTTCTCTATTTTTTTCCTCGATGCTGTTGGTATAAGCCTGGTGAGTGTACAGAGAGACAAATGCAATACAAGTATAACCACCAGTAGTTGTTTCGCACACGTCTTCAATTAGATATGCAATATGGATGTGCTTTTTGCCTTTTACTTTAATGAAAGAGAAGAAGAAGAAGAAGAAGAAGAAGAAGAAAAAGCATACATATATTTTTCTTCTTTGCTGATTGGTCGATTGTTTATCTGTAATATGAAAAAAAAGGAAAAAGAGAATACTGAAACATGGCTATGTCTCGTATGAAGATTACTAGAACATTGATATAAGAGAGAATATTCTATTGGTGTATGTTTATAGACATTTTTTTTATTAGCCAATCTCTATGTATATGCTTACTAATCAGAAAGAGAAAAAATATCATATATTATCCTAAAGATAGAACAACAATATCATTTATATTTAAAGATCGATAAAAACTCAATCGTTCTATTCCTAAAGATCGGTATGCAATAAAAAGAATTTTGTCATCTTTTTCTTTAATTAATGCCATTATTTGTTATACATTGATTCATATATAACAATTGACATGTCTCATTAACATGAATTGTACTACCATTTATTTCCCTTTCATCTAGATATATCTATATACACATACATTTGTTGTCCATGTGTGTATATTTGAATAAGCTAAGAAGATGATATGAATATATATATATATGTCCAATGAAAAATATTCTTTCATGTTGATTTTTCTTTCAAGATTTATCCTTAAATAAGAATATGTATAGATGAATTTGATTGTGAAAGATTCATTTTCTTTTGTTTTATTGTACCTTATGGGAAAATAATGAAAATTAAGAAGGTAATAGTAAGTTTTATTATTTATTACAATTGATGGACAATGGACATAACGAAAAATAGATAACACGTTTATTTTCTACAATATAGATATTGAGAATAAAATATATTGTATGATTTATCGTCTGTCTAGTAAATCAGTAGACAAGGATAGTTTTTTTTATTCTCTTAAAATCGTATTAGTATATATTTTCTTACTCTTATTAAATTTAGAGTCTTGGAGATGACATGTACTTGATACTACTATTATTACATATTTATTCTTAAAAATAAGTAATATCGATATTAATTAACGTAAAATAATCATTTTAATTTTTTACTTATTTAAACTTCATCATTAGTAATGTTCTTGATTCTGAAATATTATTCTTTAATGAAATAAGTAATATGTTGATGTATTTTTACGAGATAATTCAATGTTTGTAAATATATATGCACTCAAGATGAGTATATATTAGTAATCTATTTATTTCTGATATTTACCAATGCAAATTAAATAAATAAATTTTATTATTTTCAGAGGTATTATTATCACATCAATATTGACTTCTAGTTTTTTGTTCGATTGAAATATTGATACGTTGTATGAATCCAATTTGTTCTATCTACGTAGAAGGAATATATTCCTGCAGCCTTTTTTTTCTAGGACATTTTTTATTGAATAATTTTTCAGAAGGTCATTTCTAATGGAAGTTCAATAGCTTACTTTTTATAACATTAAATACACTATAGTTGATTTCAAGATACACTTACGTTGAATAATATATAAAATTCAGAATGAGTACCATGTCTTAAAAGAAAGGGATTGTAGTTTCAGTTGTAATATGAGTCAAGAAAATCTTTCCTATGATTATCTTAAAAATATTAGTATTATTATTAATAGAAAAATTTTGTTTTATTTGTAATAAATGATCAAGTAAAAGCTAACACAAACTTATATTTTATTCTCAACAATAATTTGATACTTTTTCTTATAAAAATTGATTGAAAAAAAGGACATATTAAAATATCCATGGAGCAATTGAGTTGATATTAACGAGAATAAAATATAAAATACATATGAAGATTTGTGACATATATCGCATTTAATTTATGATCGTTTATTTTTGTCTGGTGGAAGATGAAGTTGGTGAATTATCTGATTAACACGATCCATGGCATTTAATTGAGGTGCATTTTCATTAGGAATATTATTAGTAGATTGTTCTTTTGGTAAAGGTTCAATTGCAGCTAAAATTTGTTGTGTCGTATAAATATTTGGTTTGAATTTCGGTACTCTTTTATGAAGGATATTATTACTTAACGCTGGTAACATTTTTGAATTCATACCAGTTCGTAATAAAGGCATTTCAGTTTTTGACATTGGACTAAGTAAATTATCAGGTAGAGTATATAAACGATGATGATTAATACCATTTGAATCCATTTGTGTGTCATATGAATATCTATTTGATAATTCCATAACTGATGTATCACCACCATTAATTGATGTAGAAAGATTTAGAAGAGGTGACATAGATGTGTTTAATTCCATAAGATTAGTTTCATTATCATATGTCAATCTATTTTGTTCTCGTTGTTGTGTTTGTAAACGACGTTCAGCATGTAATCGACGTATTGGTAATGTTTTCGATATTGATGGTTGTGTTACATATGTTCCACTAATTGTTGAAATCGGTCCATCATTCATTGGAGATAGAATATCATTTAGAGTTAAAGAAATCATTGAAGCTGTTCGTTTGGGTATAATATTTGTTGATGATGTATGTTGATCAATATTCGATGATGTTTCCAATTGTGACTGTTCTCGTATAGTGAATACATCTAAATAAAATATTACATTGTTTTGTATAGATAAAAACATCAAGAATTTTACTCTGTTCACTATCAGCATCGTAATCATTTGCCTAGAAATTATTTATATACGATTATAAAATTTGTCAAAAAAAAGAATTATTATTTTACCTGAAAGTCTTGAATCATAGCATTGATTTTTTTCTAAATCAAAAAATTAAATTTTAGTTTATTTTTTTTAATTAAATGAAAATATTTAACCTGTTTTCGTTCTAATGCTCGTTCAGTACTAAATATTGGTAGACCATGTCCAGTTCGATTAGCATATTTACTTGTAAATAAACTTCCTCTCGTTGGCAATAGTCGACTTGCTTTATCCATCTAAATTATAAATAACAATAAGTATATTATGAAAAATAAAACAAAATAAATATCAAAGCAAAAGCACACCCATATTTTTGCATAAAATATATCTATGTATATATATGTCAAAGCAACACATTTAGTATGATTAGATTTCAAACAAAGATGGTTTAGATATAGATTATATATTCGGCTGTGTTATAAACCTGATCAACAGCAAGTGTAAGTTTTGATTCTTGAGTCGCTTCAAGTGTTTCAGCTGGCAATGGATGCGTTATACGTATTCGATGACGTTGAAGAGTCTCATTATTAGTATTAACAGGAATTTCTTCAGATGGCTAATAGTATTTGAGATTGATAATAATGATGAAATAGAACATATGATTATAAAAAATTCTCACCGATACAAACATTGGTTTGTTAGGATGTGAACGAATAACATTAACCTAAGGTTGAATATCAATGATTTTTATTTTTGTTTAACTTAGTTTTTTATCTCATTCAAATCATTAAGAATATGTAGCTATGGATGAATAGATAATGTATATATCAATTTATTCTCACCTCTCGTTTACGAGTTAATTTTTGTATACGTTCTTCAATCGCTTTTTCTGATCGTTTCTTTTTTATTTGTTTTTTCCTGAGTTCTGCTTCTGCTTCCTTTGCTTCAAGTTCTTTTTGATATGGTAATTCAGGTAATTCACCACCTTCAGGATCACTATCTGAATCTTCAGAACTAATTAAATACAAAATAATATTTTTTTTTAGAAACAGAAGTCGTAAAGAACAATACGTTGATGCATCTTGTTCATAAATAGTTTTATGACATTGTGTTAAAGCTTGTAAACAATCAGATATTGAAATAATCGATGTCGTTGAATCATTTCCTTGTTTTCCTTCTATAATATTAATTTAGTCTGTAATTAAAATAAAATTTATCATTTTTAATTTACCTGGATATATAAGAGGTAATAATGCTGGAGGAACTTTATCTTTTCCTAATTTACGAAAAACACATTTTGTAATATCCAAATAGATTGAATCCATTCGTCTAGATTTACAAAATTTATATTTATAAAAAATAATTCTAAGTTCTATATACTTTGTATCAGATAGAATATCTAAATATTGTCTTAATGATTCACATATAGATTGCCCAAATTTTTCATAATCTTGGATATTGAAATGACATGGTTTATTTCTATAATAAAACAAATATATATATACATTTGGAAATGTATCTTTATTATTAACTTACACAATACTTGATCCTGCAAATGAAGCTTCTAATGTAAAACTATTTTTTATTAACATTTCTTTCCACATAACAACACGTCCTGTAGATTCTTTACATCGATGAACATGAAATTTACAATAATCAAACGCAAACATATCCGGTGCCTAAAATCGTCAAAAAAAAACAAATAATATTTTACTAGACACAATCTTATATGTTTCTTTATGTGAATAAATAATTATTGAAATCCTTATTTTCTTACCGTTTTCGACATTAAGAATGGAAGAACACGAGCACTTAAAAAACTTTTCATATCCGGTTGTGGTCCATCACATCCATCACAACCATAAGCAAATACATTCGATTTTCGACTATGACCATGTAAATCACAAAACGCTAAAATCTAATCATATAATAAACAATTTTTGCATAAAAAATACTAGATATGTGTATATAGTTAATTACTTCACGTTGTTCTTTCTGTAGACTTTGTATTAATTGTTTAACATGATAAATTGTTGGGAAGCTTTGTTTATGTGGATGACGAAAATTACGATTCATATCTTTTCCTGTTAGTGAACAACGATAATTACCAATAATAACACCATCAGGATTGAGCATTGGTACAATTTTGAATACTAATTGTGAACGTAATCTCTGCAAAAATTAATTATTTTTTTTTTCAAAAAAAAGACTAAATCTTACTTTAGCTATTTCATCATCTGATGTAACAAATTCAAGTAAACCACGCATCATATAACTTGAATTTGTTTCACCAGGATGTATTCGTGCTGTTATAAAAACAAATTTTTTTTGTTTTATTGGTACAGCTAAAAATGATTACAAAAATAATAAAAAACTATTGAAACTATTATTTCTTTACATACATTCATCAGTAACTGTAATAATAAAACATGAATTTCCTGCTTGAGATTCACATAAAATATCACGACGAAATATATCTCGTGGTCTTGTTGATGATAAATAATCTAAATCATCTTTAAGATCTGTGAATGTATATGGATAACAATGTGCTATATAACATGTATCGCCCGAATAGAAAAATTCCTAAAGAAAAACAAAGTTTAAAACCCGTATAATTTCTACATTAACATACAAGTTGAAAATCAAGTTCATAATAATTAATATCTCGTTCGAGAAGAGAATTATAACTACGTTGTCTATGTTCACAATAATTAATATGATGACCAACACGATGCCAACCTTGTAATTCTCGTTTTTTAGCCAATTCAGAAAACATAAGAATTCTCATGCCTATTCAAAAGTAAAAGTAAAAATTATTTTTAAAATGCTTAACATTGAACATATAACTGACAATGAATATTTTGCAATGTATAATCATGTTTTTTTGTTGTCTTATTTTTGTAATATCTTAATCTTAACTAAGTTGCTTTTAATAGAAATATTATTTTTATAAAGAACACTTTCATTTACTTTTCACGTAGGTTTTTATTGTCATTCTTGTTAAATAATGATTAAAATCAAATATTTACAAATGGAATCGTATTATTTAGTTTATGAAGGTTAAATCAACATTATATATACATATGCACTATTACTGATGATTATCAAGTTGATATAGAAATTGTTTTATATGATTTTTCCCTAAATAGTTTCTTTTCCTATTGATAATAATAATCTTGAACGTCGAAAATATTGAATTAAGAAAATCAAATATTTACAATCATTTTTAATTCTTATACTCTAACAGTAGATAACTATCGGTTAAAATATTTACATATTCAATAGACATAATATGTAAATTTTTATTGCTTACCTTCATTATAAAGACTGCCTTTTTTCATTAAATTAATAATTCGTAAACGATATGTTACATTTGCAATCATATTTTGTACACGAAAATAATACCATTGTGTATGTCGTTTCGTATAGAGATCAGGTCGAAGTACAAGTTCATATTCAAATTGTCCTCTAAATAGATTTATATGTATATTAATTCAAAAAGGAAAACAAATGTTAGAAATTGATTTACTTACACACGTTTTACATGTCGTAAATTACCACCTTCAAAACGTGATTCAAATATTAATGGTGGACATATTAATTCATTTTCAATTGGTTTTGGTTCTTGTTTTCTTGATGTTTTATCCATATCATAAATAACAGTTGGATGTTTAAATGCATCAGTATATTTCTGTAGAGCTGGTTGATTATCGAATGTTTGTTGATGTTTTGTACCTAAGAAATGTTCATTATGTAAATAATAATATTTTTTAGAAGACAGTTGATTTTCATTTCGTAATAAAAATGAAAATGATGGTGCTAAATGTTTCATAGGACATGCTAGGGGCCAGAATGGACCATGATCATCTACGGATATTTCTGTTGTAAGAAAAAAATAAGTTGTTTTTATTGTACCATTATTTAATATAAATTGATGTTTTTTATAAATTCGACTACGAAAATTAATATTGGAAAAAAGTTTTTTACTTGAATTAATCGAACATTTATCATTTTCATGTTCATTCTCATCAAAACTATGATTTAATTCAGTATCGGAATGAAAGTTTTTTAAAGTAGTTGATGTTCTTGAACAAATTAATGAACTTGTTGTTGAATTCAAATCTTTTTCAGACCAAATTGTTTGTCCAACACGCATAGTTATATATATATTTTAAATCAATCTTCTAGATTTTTAGCACTCATTTGGCGTAATAGAAAAAAAAGAGTGAATTGCAAAGAAAAAATAAGATGAATAAGAGAAGGTGGGATGTTTGTCATCATCAGATCGTTACCGATCCGAAGACAAATATAGGAGAGAAATTATTTACTATATAAAGACATTCTCAATTTCTCTTTTTTTCTACTATTGTTATTGAGCTTTACTTACTTGATGATGATGATAATGAATCATTAGCTGTTACATAGAATTCTTTTGGTGTTATTTCTCGAGTAAATAATCTTGGTGTTGGATGAAGAATACGATAATCAGTTGGCCAAAATGGTCCATCATCACTTATAACAACTCCATGATGATTAATATAATTATTTGTAGTTCGATTACTTCTTGCTGATTGTTGTTCAAGTAAATTTAATATATCGGCTTTATTTGATTTAACAATACTATTTCCATATAAAAATAATGAATCATTCGTATTTGAATTAAATGGTTTTCGTTGATCAGAAAGATTTTGAAAATGAAACGATGTTTTTTCTAATAAATAATCACTATTTTGTTGTGACGAACGTCGTCGACGACGATAATAACTATTACATGATTGTAAATCAAAACTACTATTAAATGAACTATTTGTTTGATAATTAATTGATGGATGATAATCTTGTGAATCAACAGAATCTTTTGGATTATATGGATAAAGAACAGATCGATTACGTCGATCGATTTCACCCCATGGAACACCTTGAGGTATATCAATTTCACTTTGTTGAAAAGGAAGACGTTGACCAGCTCTATTATAAAAAAATAATGCTGACATTGTTAGTTTTTTCTCAATAAATAATTTAAGTACTTTTGCTTTCTTTACTTTACATTGAAGAGGTATAAACGACAATTAAATTATTATTTTTAATTTAAAAAAAATATGTGTCTGAATTTCTTCATATTATCTAGTCAATTACTTTTATTATATTAGAGTCATATGTTAAAAATTCAAGCCTTTTTTAAACAAAGGATTTTTCTGAAGAGGTATAATAGTTTTCAAATATATTCTCATACCGAAACTGTTGTCGACGTAATCTACTCAATTGTTCTTGTTGTTCTGTGTCGTTAAGTAGTTCTTGTACTTGTCGTTGAAGATCTTCTTCTAATTCTTGATGAATATTTGCACGCCATTGTTCATAAGTATTTGAATCTAAATAAATATTTAATGATAGATTAATCCTGATATGATGAAGGTTAAAAAAAAAAGAAAACTCTTATTCAATTTCCTACCATGTTTAGTATTTTGAAGTTTATTAGTATTAATAACATTATTTGAAGATGGCGGAATTTGAGGTAGTTTAGTTGCACGATGTGCTATTGAATCAGACATCATTGAAATAGTCGTTGCTAATCGTTTTGTTTTTTATTCTCACTATTTCAACATGCACACAAAAATGATGTTCTGTATTTTACAAAAATTTTCTTTTATTTCTTCGCTTGCTCAACTGCACCACTCTCAGACAAAGCTACTTCACTTTGCAAGGATGTTATTTTTTTGTCTTATACCATAATGCATGTGTACCGTTAAAGTAACAAAAAGTTGTGTTTTTTCTTGATTTAGAGAGAAAAGTGTATGTCAAAAGATGATTATACTCATTTTTTAAATATATATACGTAGTATCAGTAGTATGGAACTATACAAAATTTTTGTTTGTCAATATAAATAAAGTCAAATATGTACTGTTTGAATAGAAGAAAAAAAAGAAATTTTACCTTTTAAATATTTAAAAAATTCTTGTTTTGTTTGTTCAGATAAATTTAATGAAAGATTGTTAAATTGTTCTTCTGACATTTCTTCGTTTAGAACCGTTGTTTGCCATGTACCTTGAAACATTGTCATTTCTCTTTTTTTCTTCTTTTTTTTGTCTGTTATGTAGGCCATTAAAAATAGCTAACAGCGAATAAAAGAAAAGGAAGAAGTTCACTAATCGTATTAGAAAAGCTTTGATGGCTAAATTCTTCTTTTTATTATTAAAACACAAAATGATTCACTGAATCAACTGACAGTTATATCATCATAAATTATCAACAATCTTCTGATTACATTCGCTTGTAAACGTATTTATATATGATATATTATTTCAACAATAGTTTGATTTATTTTCGATTGTGATGTTTGAAATTGACAGATTACTTAAAAAATACTAGACAATTGTTAGAAAGATGAGAAATTATAAGATAATCCTACCTGCAGTTGTTATGGGAATGTCATCTTTTAATTATACTTAAAGAAATGTTTGTAAGAGTCTTACTAGAAGAACAGCTAGTTGATATTTATTATTATTATCAATTGTATTTCTCTTAATGTTTTTATGATCAATTTAGAAACTTTTTTATATATAAAAGAGAAATATTCGATTGGTTGGAGAACAGTATAGTTACCGATGATGATAGTTAAACATTAAGAAAATAGTCATATATAATTGTTACGTATTGATGTATGTTTTTTTTAATTTCCGGAATGATATTATAAGTGCATATCTCTTGATTGAAATAACTGCGTAGTTTCTCTTCTGGCATTGGATAAATAATTTCAGATCAATCAGTATTTATTATAAAAGGATTTCAAATTATGAGCTAATTTTTAATACTATCGATTAATAAGATCGAATCCTTAACATAGTTAAATTAATAACTCTGTATAATAATTTGCAAAGTTGCAAATTCATTTAAATTTCAATTCATTACATATAGATGAGCGAATGAAAAAATTCAAAAGGGATTTTATAAATAAATGTGAGCACGAGCGATAAATTCCACAATAGTATGAAGACAAGAAAATGACAGGAAAATACCAAAGATGTGTATCGTATATGTTATCTACGTCATAATCGTAGAATCTTACTATAATAAAATCAACACTCTGATATATGATTCTCATTTGCAATTGAAATAAAATGCAGAAGTAGTGTAATTTTACAAAAAAAAATAGATCAGAAAGCATACGTGCGTCATCGGTCCCGGAAAGGTTAGTTTGAGTACAAATTATCAAATTTGAGCGGAAAAATATGTCACTATGAAACTATAACTTTTTGATTTCAAGATATTTTACCATAGAGACATTCTTTAGATAATTAAAAATTTTATTGAACGTGTTTCACACAAACTGGTCAATCTTTATTGTTGTTAAAATGTAGAATAAGATATCAATAACATATAAAATAATGTGAAACATTATAATCATACAAGAAAAAATAAGACTCTTAGTCTAACTAAGGTTTCATGAAAGACAAAAATAAAATACGATAGGTAAAAAAATAACTAATGATAATACTACATGAAGTTCTTTCTATTTTTTCTGTTGCATACGTGCACGAACAAGTTCTTCAAGTTTTTTAGCATCAATAGCAAATTTTCGTATACCATCTGATAATTTATCATGAGCCATTTCATCTTCATTTAACATCCAACGAAATGTTTTTTCATCAAGTTTTTCATATTTTTTCTTGTCTTTACTTTTTTGTGCTGCTTGATCTTTATTTAAATAAATTTTAATGGGTTCATTATCTGGACTTTTTTGTTCCGCTAATTCTTCAAGTAATTTTGGACTTATCGTTAATAGATCACATCCAGATAGACCAAGAATCTGTTTTGTATTACGAAATGATGCACCCATAACAACAGTTTTTATATTATGTTGTTTATAATAATTATAAATACGTGTTACACTAACCTTAAGAAGAAGACGAAAAAAACGATAAATAAATTAATAAAAGTTTTCTGTTTTTGAATTACTTACAACGCCAGGATCTTCATCAACTTCATAGTCACGTTTACCTTTTTTTTCAATATACCAATCATAAATTCGACCAACAAATGGTGAAATAAGTGTAACTTGTGCATCGGCACATGCTAATGCTTGTGCAAATGAAAAAATTAACGTCATATTACAATGTATACCATGTTTTTCTTCTAATTCTTTTGCTGCTTGTATACCTTCCCAAGTTGATGATAATTTAATTAAAATTCGATCTTTTGTTATACCACGTTTTTCATATAAACCAATTAAATGACGTGCTTTATTGATTTGTGCATCACGATCAAATGAAACACGTGCATCAACTTCAGTTGATACACGACCAGGAATTATTTTCAGGATTTCTTCACCAAATGCAACAAATAAATTATCCATAATATCATCAATTATTGCTTGTTCATCTAATGCCGATGAATCTTTTTCTCGACATTTATCAATAATATCATCAATTATATGAGCATATTGTTTCATATTAGCAGCAGCTAATATTAATGATGGATTTGTTGTTGCATCTGTTGGTTTATATTTTTCTAATGATCCAAAATCACCTGTATCAGCAACAATAGTTGTATGTTGACGAAGTTGTTCAAGAATAGTAGCCATCTTCTCAAATGGAAGACAAAAATTATCTTCAAAATTAAAGAAAAAATTATTTATTATTTTTTTAGACAAATTGCGCAATTTAGTTGTTTTTTCGTTCTGCTTCAATTTGTATGACATGTACTTAATCAATCTATGTAGACATTATTTGTTACGCTCCATTAGGCAGATAATCTACTAAAGTCAACTCGTTTTTCGATTATATACTCGTCATTTTAATACAGATGTTTCTCGAAAATAAAAAAATATATTACGCAAAAGGACAATTTGGTCTTTATAGTACACATGTCTAAATAAAACTTTTTTTGTGGCCTTGAAAATACTTTTGACTAAAATATGCGTTTTTATCTATATATAGGAATAAATTAAAGTCTCGCGCGACAGATGTTTTACATTCCTGCATTCATATGTTTTTCTTTTTTTAACATTATGTTACCATCTCATGCTCAATTAGTTATTCTTCTTAATAAAACAAATAATGTCGAAATACATTTTTTAAAATGAAAAATTCAAGCATTAATTCTTTTTTTTTAATCCATACATGATATTTCGCCAACGAAAAACAAACACAAAAAGAAAGAAAAAACGAAAAAGCACAACTCGATGACACGAAAAGCTACAACGAGTGTGTGAGAAATAAAGCACAGAAACACATAAATATAATAATAAATATAAAGATCGCACAACATAACATAACAAAAAGAATGAAATGAATACATAGATCAAATGTACATGTAATCAATCAAGACGAGAGAGAAAGAGATTATACATGCACCAAACAATACTAATAAAACATTATTTATTTTTTGATTGTTGCATGTTTATCACTTCTCATTGCACAGAAAAATAACAGAGAAAAAAAAACAATAAAACACAAAAATTACCGAAATCAAAAAGTAAAAATTGTTTTTGTAAGGCGACAGAAGCATCAACAATAGCTATGAAAACATGAAAACCATTGGTCCAAGGTTAATCAAAACATAAAAGAGCTTTTTTTTTAATTTTAATTCACCGACAGAAGCAAAAAATAGAAAAACGAAAAAACATTGAGATTAAACAGTTGTTTGCGGAACTGATGAATAATATCGAAATAGATCATGTCGATAATATGATGGAATATGACCACGTTTTACAAAAACAAGTTTTGTATCTTCAACTTCACAATCAATTTGTATCATAGGTACATGATTAGCTGGTACATGTATGGATTCTACAAAAGAGAAAAGATTTTTTTGTAAACTAATTCATTAAATCAAAAATATACTATTTAAATGTGTAATTGATGCTGGTAAAATTAGAGACATTTTTGGTCGTTGAGTTTGATTTGTTACCGTTGCAGGAAGAATAAGATGATCCTATTAAAATCAAGAATAATTTATTAAATAAAAAATAAACAATTTACTCGTTTGAATGATACAAAATAAAGTGTATCATTTTTTCGATCAATTGCATGAATAAATTCATCATAATTTGGTTCATATCCTTTGTATGGTTGAAGTTGTCCTTTACCTGCTGATTGTGCTCTAGATAAAGAATTTTGTTTTTTTTCAATTATGTCATTAAATTAATAACAAACTTTGGTGTTCGTCGATTCAATACAGCAACTTTTCTTGGTATATGTTGTTGTTGTTGTTCATTAGAATCTGTCATAGTTGTTATATCAGGATTTGTTGGAATGCTAATTGAATTTGAATTAAGTATTGTAACCGGTTTAGTTTTATCAATATTTTCTTCTTGTCGATAATGATCTTGAACCCAAGAACGAAGTTCCTGATTGATTCTATAAATAATAATAATTATCAATCGTTTCTATATGTAATAAATCATAATCTACTACTAGTCTAGAGCATTTTATAACTAAACAATTGTCTTTATTAACTAGTAAAATACAATCGAAATATTTATAGAAGAGTACGAACCAGAGAATGTTTTTTGTAACCTTGAAGATTGAGAAAAATAGAATGATACAAATAAGTCTAACTAACTCTAGAAGAAAATATCTCGAATTCGATCTATATTTGATAAGGACGATGTCAGTATTATAAACTATGAAAATATCTTTCTCTATCGAGCAAAATAAGTTATTGTTACGATTCTAATTGCTTATTGTTGTATTAGAATATAAACTTACCGTTGTGAATGTGTTTTATTAATATAAGCCACGCATTGTAAATATGGATAGGCTGGTATAAGTGGAGAATTATTATCATTATTCCCATTACCAATACCTGAACTATCATCATTTTCATTATTAGTTACGTATGATTTGCCATTACTATTCAGATGAGCACTAAGAATCGTTCGACCAGGAATAATTGTTCCTTCATCATTATAACCAGAACGACTATTATATAAAGCAATCGAACTTGATGGATCATTTGAAACAGGTGAAATAAAGCTATAATAATACAATAACACATATGTATATAATCAATTATACATTTATGTTCTTTACTTCAAGGTACATATATTGAAGACAACCAAAAGAACAATGCCCATGAGTATCAATGGTTTACGAGCACGTGGTGATGTTATTCCATTACCAAGTTTATAAGTTTTCAAAAGTTCATTCTATGAAATAGAAGAAAAAAACAATATTTATTTTGCTAAAGATAAATTCTTTTATCAAACCTCCATTTCTAATGTATGAACACGTGTAAGTAATTTTGTATTTTCACTTTTTAATCTTTCATTTTCATCCGATAATTCTTTAACTTTAACTTCAAGATTTTCCATTAACTAAAATAGAATTTATTTATGAAAAAAAAGTAAAAATTAATTCAAATCAAGAATACAAACTTGTTTTCGTCGTTTACGTGAAAGTGATGCTGATTCACGATTTTTAATCATACGAAGATGTTTTTTCAATGCTTCTTCCTATTTAATAAATTATTCAGTCCTTCATTAAAAAAAGATCGTCAAATTACTTACACTAACATTTCCATACTGAACTTTCAATTGATCTAATGTTAATGTTGTTATTTCTGATGGTTGCGTAGGTAATTGTTGATGATTTGTTGAACTTTCTGAACGTCGTCGTTTAGCTGGTGGTGAAGTCATTGAATTATTTCCATTTAATGTTTTCAGAAATGTTCCTGTTGTTAATGTTTGTTGATTATCAGTATGCATATTATTTGGATAAACTGTCGTAATACGCTTAACAGTCGTTGGTGTAACTGGATCAGCTTCTAAAATTTCAAAAAGAAAATATTTGAAATATATTCTTTGAATGATTTAATTAAACCTGTTTTAACAATAGTGATTGGTGTAGTCATTGTTGTTGCTGTTAATGGCATTTTGATTACAGGTACTTTTGAAACATTAATAGGCCTTGATGTTGTAATTATTGTTATATTTGCTGGCGGTGGATGGGATGGTGGTGTTGTATTGATTATTGGTTCGATTTTAACACATTTTGTACCAGTTGATGCTGTACTGGCATAAGATTGAAGTTTAACACAATTAGTTATTTGTTGTTGAGAATAATTATTTTGATTTAATGATAATTTTGGTAAAAGTATTGGTCGTTGATTTGATATAGGTGGGGAAGAAGGAACAATACTTGATGATGGAGGTGGTGACGGATACGGATTTTGAGCTGATGTTGGTGAAAGTAATGGCTATAAATAAGAAAAATGTAAAAAAGCAATATTTTTTGACAAGGAAGTTTTACTATTTGTTGTAATGTGTCTGGATTTGATTGATCAGGTAATTCGAATCCTGCAAGTAAATCATCAAGTGTTGAATTGTCTGAATCAGTTAAACCATCAGCAAGCATTAAATGATTCTAAAAAATGAGATCATTGTATCCAATAAATACAAAAGTCTTTCTATTATTCATACTTGTTCATTCATTAATGCATTTATATCATAATGTTCACCATTGGGATCATCGGAAAGTGGACTATCCATACTCCATGGCCAAATGTCTATATGATTAGAAATAAAAATTCTTGTTTTTTAAATATAGTATTAATATGTATATATATATACCAAAATTTTTATGTAAATCAGTCATCATAGGCGGTGTGTCTGATATTCGACTGTCTGTATCATTTTCAGTTGTTGGCGATGTCTATTAAACAGAAAATAGAAAAATTGATTTTGAAAAAATAGAAATATTTTTCTTTATACAGTCTTATTTGAAAGTGTATCAAATCCACCAAATAACGCTTCATAATCAATATCATTTATCGGTATATCTACACTAGTCATTTTTTGTATTGTTTCAATTATTGAAAATTATCATTCATAAAATTAATCGTATACTATATTTAAATAAATAAAATAACATCGGATGTTAATTTGTTTTTCTTTCTTTGTTTTTATTCTTACATAGGCATATGAGAATGTTCAATAGTACTTTTTGACAGTAGATTATTCTTCCTTTCTTTCTTTTTCGAAGAAAATGGCAATCGTATATGTGAATCTAAAATCTGAGAAATCTTTAATCAAAAAGAAAAATCGTAGATTTTTAATATAAGAATGTAAATGTATTTAAACCAATCGAGGCACGACAAACGTCCACGTCAGTCTACATAAATATAGAGATTGATTCGTAGTTGGCAATTGGAAAGCAAAAAGGGCGAGGAAAAGAAAAGAAAGAGAAAAATGATATGAGTCATAAAGAGAGAGAATGTCATAGATTGTGCTCTGCGGGCCTTCATTTTATCGTTTGAAATTGATTTCGAAAGAGGGCGTTCGAATATTTTTATTACAAAGATACTTCAGAGAGAATCTCTTATAATCTAATCCACTTGGAAATTTTTTTTCTTTTATAGCTTCTCTGATAAGATTTAGATTTTTAAGTATATAAATACATTTTTCTAGTCGTTTCGTTGATATCAATAATTGTGGTTGAAAAATAGCTCTCTCTCTCTCATTACTTGTAAAACTATCAGTTAACATCAACCAGACAAAATAATTTTTTTTAGTGGTTTTGAGAGAGAACGTTGATATGACATTTATTGTAATTGTATTTGTTCTTTATATTCTAAGAATAATATTTATGTAAATTATTTGAATGACTCAAGTATCGCAAAAGTGCATTCTGAATAATATAAAAACTACATGCTTTTACAGCCCTAGAAAAACTTGTAGTTCAACTATCATTAGCTTGAAAAATGTGTACTCAGCATCGTAATGATTTAGAATGATATATTATAGAAGAGAATGACTATGTAGATGTTCAATGACAACAGTATAGTGTCAACTCTCATGAATATCCTCGCTAATACTTATCTAAACTCTCAAAACAGAAGTATCAAGTAAATTGATAATAGCGTACTCAAGTGGATACAACGAATGGATCGTCGAACGAGACAATATTATGTATATTATTGAAGAATTATTTGAAATAGTCGATCTTGAATATAAAACTAAATTTCAGATCTATGCTCTTAATTAAACTATCTCTTATCATTATACACCAGCTATCAATGATATTTCTTCATAAACGAGACAAAACTCATATTATCTACAAGGATTCAGTACACCAAAAACAATTTGTGTACTTATTATTTTCTTTGGTAATATATACGACTGATGCATAGGTGAATTTGAGTATGAATACAGATATACAATAAATATCCTGTACTTTGATAATCTCAAACCAGTACTATTTCCATGCTTGCTTCTATTCAATGTTACTCGATCGCAATTAAAATCAAGCTTTGACACTGGGAGAAGTTGTTATTTATCAATAACTCAGATTCTAACTGAGAAATGTGTTAGAAAAGGAAAAGAAAGATTATAATTGTAAACGTTCTCAACTCGCACTCTATAGAATACTACATCTTTATCATATAAGCTACATCTAAGTAAAAAAACATGTAAAAGATATTAAAAAAAATTGTATTGTATGTATTCTGCCTTTTTGATATTTTACAGTACATTTTCTCTATGCCATGAAATTATCACTGATGCAGTTCTTGTAAAAAATTTAAATCAGATACAATATATACTATATTTATTTATTTATTATTATTTAAGAATGAATTGTATACATGTTCTTTTATGTTTATACATATATATGCTAGAATAACTAAAACAATATTTAAGTTGATAGTTCAATATTTTCATTTTGTTGTCGATGAATTCGACTATGTCGATCAAGATTTCCTTTGTGACTTGTTGAATACGAACATATCGTACAAATAAATGCTTTTTGTCCTGAATGAATCGATTGATGTCTTCTTAAAAGTGCTTTACGACAGAATGTTCGTCGACATATATCACAATGATAACCACAACGATGTTCTGTATTAACATGTGCACGAAAATGTGCTTTACTTATAAATAATTGATCACAACAATCAATTGGTTTCGAAAGTATTTCATGCATTGTTTGTATATGTCGTTTAAGATTATTTAATCGATTTGTTGTATATGAACATTGTGGACATGATAGACGACGACGAACTTTTGAATTTGATGAAGAAGATGTCGATAATTTTTTTCGAACAGAATCTTTTCCTGTTGATGAAACATGAGATTCTGTTTCAATTGATACAGAAGGTATCATAGTTGATGGTGGTAATAATAGCAATGGTGATGTTTGAGAATATTGTTCAATAAGACTTCGAAAAAATACTTCGTGATAAAAACGAAATGATGAATCTGATTGAAAAAGTAAAGATGTTGGCGGTGGTGGTGGTGGATAAAAGAGGGAAGGAAACAAAAATGGATTTGAGTTTGCTTGTTGATTTGAATTGAATAAAGACCTATAAATGATTATAGAAAGAGACGTATATTTTATGTCTATACATAATTCTATCTTTGAATTCAAATGTTAATAGTATCTCAAAAACTAATTTCTCGATTAGTATATTATCAATGAGTTAAATTTCATTTCCTAGTAAGTGTTCTTCAATGCTATACTTACTCATAGTAAGAACTCATCATCGTCATGTTTTTTGTTCAAACCATTAAAAATGACAAATGGACATGGAATCTATGAATGTCATTGAGCCGTGTGGTCGTTTTTTTTTCTTCGATTTTTTTTCTTTTTTTTTTTTTCTTGATTCAAACAACATCACTCTACATACACGTATAAGACGGTACCCCATTGCTCATGAATACAAGAGCGAACAAAAACAATAAAAAAAAACATTCGATTCGAATCAAACAATGACTCGTACATCAAATGTGTATCTATCTATAGAGACATGTTGATGTTTCATCTCTCGGAAAAACTTAATTATTGCATGCGTAAATGTG